AAATGAAAATGCCTATAAACCTGACACCGCTTTAAATCTAGTGACTCTGTAAAATCTAATTTTTCTAGGACCCATATAGGATGGGCCCTATACTGTAACCTTGTCCACTCCCACTGCTGTTAAAGTTGCAGGTGTTGTGTCTTAGATCCACCACAGTCAGCTAACACCGGCAGCTCAGGACAAGTGGACCAGCCAGCAGGGCGCAGATCATCCAACCCGGCTGATCCTGAGACGAGACCAAGCTGCTGCTGAGGACAACAGCCCTGCTCTGGTCACTCCGGAGGCTGACCAGTCTACGCATGGCTGAAGCTTGAGGGGACAACAAGCCCTGTTCTAGTCACACACCAGCAGCTGACTGGTCTATGCACGGCCGAAGCTTGAGGACTCGTGAAGCAAGTAAATACAGTTAAAAATCTTAAGACTAATAGTTTTCCTGTAATGCTGTTTTCCTAATATTCTGTCGCTGTCTTCAACCTTTTCCCCAAGTAAGGACCTCTTTTGCCCTTGCTGGATATGTATATGCTGTACATTGTTTTGTTGTTACTACCCCCCATAACCACGCTAGAAGAAACACCTACATAAGGTGTCCCCACTGTACATTTACTACTGAGGAAACCCAGACCTGTCCAGCCCAGCAACAATTCCGGGTCTTACAGTCATTCTTTAAACATACAAACCAGGAGTTACCAGAACTTCTCCCTTTAGTAAAAACAGAAAAAGCCTATTTGCTCAGTTGGCTGAAAATATTGCTGGCAGCCTAGATGTTTCTTCATGTTATGTTTACTAAAAGGCTAACATAAGAGACCAATGGCCTTGAGAAGCAAAACAGTTAATGCCTCAAGATAACTTAACTCTTTCCCCAAACAGATGCCCTGAGTTCAAGCATCTGGCTCTTAAAAACTTCTGTTATTTAAAAAAACTGTGTTACTCGCTAAGAAAAAGCTTTTCAGACCCAGTGACAAAACTAACGTGCTTAGGACATGACAAAGTTGATACATGTGCCTGTACAAGTTTAACACAGGTTTGATCCTAGGTCTTCATTTAGAAAACAGTTTCCAGCTATAAAAATTTAGAACCCTCATTATAAGTATATTACTAGTAATAGAAAGTTGCTTGCTGCTCCCCTGTGTATTACACTTGTTCCTTCAAATGATAAAAGGTTTTGTAGCTACCATGGTTCATCAGAAAACTTCAGCACAAGTACATGACATAAAACACTATCGTTCTGTCTTGCAAAGAGACTCAGAAAGTAAAAATAAAAGTGAGAACTCCCACTAATTAGTGAAAATTCTCAAAGGGGAGGATAAGGAAGGAGACCACTACTACTCCTGCTGCCATCCTCCCCCTTCCTTGCCTAGTTCACGAGACAGAGAGAAACAAAAGTAAGATAAATAGCCAGACAACCTTGGCACCACCACCGAGTCCTAGGAGTTAAACAAAGTAATAATAACAACATCAACCCCTGGCCTAAACTACTTGTGTTATCTGTAAATTCCAGACACTGTATGAAAAAAGCATTGTAAAACTTTCTATTCTGTTAGCTGATGCATGTAGCCCCCAGTCATGTTTCCCACGCTTGCTCGATTTATCACGACCCTTTCACGTGGACCCCTAAAAGTTGTAAGCCTTTAAAAAGGCCGAGTATTTCTTTCTCAGGGAGCTCGGCTCTTCAGACGCGAGTCTGCCAATGCTCCTGGCCAAATAAAAAACCTCTTCCTTCTTTAATCTGGTGTCTGAGGAGTTTTGTCTGCGGCTCGTCCTGCTACAGTGTAATAAAAAAATTTTTAAAAAAGCAAAGGTATATGGTTAAAACCAAAAAAAAAAAAAAAAAAGATGCTGAACCATGTCTTGAATTGGCCTTTGTATCCATTATACATGGCCAGGTGCCAGGCATTTTGGTTAATGTTCACAGAATGGGTGGGTACATGGATGGGTAGATGATTAGAGCCAGGGACTATGAGCAGATGAAGTTCATTTTTTACATTATGTCCAAAAATTCCTGCTTTGAAAAGTAGTGAGTTCTCTGACGCTGATGGTGTGTGACAGGAGGCTGGGCCAGTTGGCAGGACACTGTAAAGGTAATTCAGGCCTCAGAAAGGGGACTAGATGAAATTTAAAATCGTTTCCAAGCTTGAGAGCCTGGAACGCTATGAAACACAAGCTCTGGGAGCTGAGATATGTCCTAACTTACCCAGCTGAGCTGTGAGGGGTCAGTGGCTCTAACATTTTACAGTTTTTTTCTGAGGACCTCAGATTAAAGCTCCCCTTTGCCTAAAAGTATCTGCCTGCTGGTGCGGGCCTTTGGGGGCCCTCACAGTGCACTGAGGTTAGAGTCCTGCAAGGGAGAAACCCTTATCTAACAAGCAGTTGGGCGAGTTTATGGCTCTCTGTAATATGAGAGTATAGTCCAGAGTGGTTTGATGAGAGAGAGTAAACTGTGGGTGGGCGTGGCTTGAGGTCCCAATAGAAGCCCAGGGAAATCTGGGGAAAGGGAGGGCTTTTCTGCTATCTCCCAATTAGAGGATTAGGCAATTGGCAGCTCAGGGTGGTAACTCAGGGCCGGGATGGGCTCCAGGGCTGAACAGGGCAGTCCCTCTGAGTTGCAGGGAGACCTCGCAGGCCCGGGTACTGTCGCCCTTCCACTATGTGGCTCCGTGCTCTTGTCCTGGCCACTCTCGTTGCTTTCACGGCTTGGGGTGAGTCCTTCTCAAATCAAAAATATGCGGGGCACTTTTTGAAATCCTTGTTCTGGGCCGAGGTTGACGCAGATGCATAGAAAGGCAAACACACAACAGGTCCGGCTCCGCGACTGCGCGCCCTCACTACTTGGACTTGGACTTGGAGCTGCTGAGCCGGACCAGACCAGTCCGCCCGGAGATGCGAGATGCAGGGAGGGTGAACATCCTGAGACCGCCCTGCACTGCTCGCCCCGTGCAGGCCGGCATCTGGCCGACCGCAGGCCTCACACAGGAGAAATTTAGGCAACTCAGTTTACTGTCCCTTAATTAGCCCTGTTTTGGCTGGATCACGGAGAGCGGCTCAGCAGAATATTCAGAGCATCGTCTCTGTACCAGAGTGCGTGGGTTTGAGTTCCCACTGGGCGCTTCATAGCTGTGTGTCCTTAGACAAGGGACTGAGCCTATCCGTGCTTTGATTACCCCCTCTCTGAAATAGAAGTGGCAATGCTACCTACCTCACTGGGTTGTAGTGAGGAGGAAATGAGTCGTCGTTCTTAAAGCACTCTTGGCAGCGCCCGGTATGTAGAAAGCACGAAAAAGGGGTGGATAAATATAAAGGCCTTGTTTAAAAATGTAATGTATGAATGGAAAATTTGAGCTGTGATCACGCCACCATATCAGGACCTCTTGCCATTAAAAAGACAGTTGCTTACTCATGTTCTCAACAGGAGGAGGACACCAGTGGGCGGGGCACAAGGGGAAGCAGCAGAGCATGGGGAGGGGACAGGGCGGATCTCAGGCCAGGGGGCTTTTACTGTGGCTTCCAAGGATAGAAGAGGAAAGGCATGACAGGCAGGCTGAAGATTGGAGAGTTGGGATAATTCAAGGGGCTCTGGGGCACAGGGGTTCTTCCTGGTTGTCTGTACCCAGCCCTGGCATGATTAGGGCAGGTGGGTAGTGGCCAGGGCGTGGCCACCTGATCAAAGAGGCGGTTGGGATGTGGACTCCGGGTTGGCTGGACTCTGGGAGGGACAGTTTCTCCAAGGTCAACAAGGCCTCAGATGCCAGAGCATCAGAATACAGAAAGCAAAAGACATGGTACATACAGGGGTGCAGGGAGGGGCCTGGAAATGCCCCCGTGCCATTTTATAGACGGAGAATCAGAGACTCACACAGGGAAATGTACTTGCCCAAGGTCAACCTGAAAATCATGCCTGGGTCTGTCTCTGGGTCCTGAATCCTGACAGCCCAGGCCCCGTCTGTATCCTGTCTTCCTTCTGGCAGCCTGACAGTGTGAGAGCTCTGGAACTGTGGGGAAGGGCAGAGGAAGAGAGGAACCCTATTTGAAACTGAATGTTCCTTTACCTCTGGTTACTCCTGGCGATGCCGTCCATTTCCTTCCTTAGGAAGACCATACGGGCTGCCTCCACTTCCTCAGTTTCCTCCTCTGTATAATAGGCATGTTGATGTCTACCCAGCAAGGCCTTTTTGAAGATTAATTTAAATGAACTGGAATGCATGCCTGGCCCATAGTAGGTGCCCACCATGTTCATGTTCCATATAACATCAGTGGCAACTGCTCTTGTTCTTATACTTGTTTCTGCTTCCCCCCATTCACCCACTTTTTCACCCTTGGCATTCTGGCTGCCATCCACCTCA